TAATGTCTGGGAATGTACCACGTCCATGGTCCGACTTTGGAAATTATTATGCATACAATAGACTCAGGACTAGGTGCGCTCCTCTAAGTCTTCCTACCAATATGACCAAGTTGCGAAAGCAAGGTCATACAACTTCTATTAGACGAAAGGAGACTGCGACCACACAAAAGGCCACACGATTTTGGTCTTCATATCTACAATTCTTAATTTTTGGACAAGAATTTTATTATAGCATATAGAGAGTTGAAAGGTTCGCACTTGACCATGCATAGCAAATTACCAATTTAACGCGTTTACCAAAGCTCTTTAAATTTGCTTACATAGGTCTGGTCATAAATTCAACAGTATATAAATGATACAGTATGTCATTTTTATGTCACTATCACTCTCATCAATTATCTTAAGAACTAGGTTTCATATTTATTTTATGTGCCAATTCAGCATACCAAGTTTTTTTTCAGCTAAATAATGCTTATTAATACTTTTTATTTTAGCGTGTGTTTAGGTTTCTAAAATAAACTTTTCTTCCTATTTTGCCGTACCCTCTAAATCTTAGATCTAAGGCTTTGCTAGCTGCTCGTAGTCTTCTGATTCACCTTGATGAGATCGCCTCCTTTTCTGCCCCGAATAATAACATTTCATCAAGACCAGGGTTGTACAAACCAGGAGATATCCCTTCGCCTTCAAGCAGCCTTGGTCACTTCCTGACCCTTGGTGAGAGAAGTGTAAGTACTCGTGGCAACGGTGTTTGCAGAGGTAGTTGTGATGACCTCAAGATAACGGAGTTAAAAGCTAAACAATCTACTTGCAATGTATCTACAATGACCACCACCAGCACTGAGGGTTTATACGCCAATTCCTGGTACCTTAGCCGCTATGGACTCTCTAATGAAAAGACTTCCGGAATTCCGTCTGCCACTGAATCGACAGCAGCAACAACAGAAGGGATTGGAATCTCTTCTATCGTGGCCGACTCGTTTGTCCAACATGACCCTGTCTTTGCCCAAAACATGACTATTTGTCATCCTCATGAATCAGTTTATGGATCACCTCAAAGCCATCTGGGGCCAGAAGCGATTCTAGGTTTAGGATTTGGAATCGGACTTCCTGCTGCCACTGCAGATTCAGGGCTGGGTACTAGCTATGCTCATGAGGCGACACTCATGCGCTCGCGCAGTGCTGATGGGCCTAGCTTATCTACACTGCCTGTTTCTTCAATTTATCCGGCCTCTAACAGGTCGCATTGGGACCGATTACAGGCGCCAAATAATCAAGGTCTTTCTGAAACTATCGGACAAGACTCAGTCAGTTTTGACGACCTTACACTTTTCCAATCACTTGAACTTCTTCCATGGCCCAGCTCGGCCTCACTTTCTTCTAACTCCCCCGATTCCTGTTCATTTTCCTCTCATTTACATTCTCCCACCTTCCGTACTTCTTTCTTTCATCCTCCTCCCCCTCCCCCTCTTCCTTCTCACCTTTCCCCATTACTACCTCACATCTCTCCCCCCGTATTTTCACAGCCCTCGAAACAACCACAACCGGTTGATGTTTTTCCCACCTCCGTAACCACACCCTTCAATCTCAATCAATTAAGACCCCATCCTATCCCATTCTGGTCAGATCACGAGTATCCCCAGGCTCTAGGACCTCAAGAATCCCGGAACCCCGGTTCTCTTTGTTCCGGTAAGCAAATTGGACGGAATCCTCAACAGCAACAACGACTAGTCTCTAATTCCTTGAACCTTTTGGCAGTAGAAGCTGGCCAGGAGGATCAAGGAAAGCATCGCAAGCCACAGCTCAACGACCAACGTGGGAGTCGTAAAACAAGAGGAATACATTTTTCTGAAGATTCGAGTGACTGGTCTACATCATCTACATCAGCTACCTCTTCATACTCGTCTAGCCTGCATGCTCGCACAAGGAAGGCTGGTTGTTCGTCTAGGCGCAATCGACTGAACTCTAAATACTCTTTCATCACCATCTCATCAAGTGTTTCGTCTTCTGACACTTCATCTGACAATATATCGGGCCTTCATTCGGAAATATATCATTCTGCTGCGCTGAAAAGTAGAAATCATGCGTCTGTATCCAAAAACACTACTCAGTATTTGTTCACTGATTCAATGAAGTGCACAAAATCTGACTCGGTTTCACCATCATCCTCTTCTTCCTCCTCCTCTACCCCATCTTCTTCAGACCACCTATCCTCAAAAGTCTTGGCTAGCAAGCTAAATAAGAGGCACCACATCATCAGGAAGACGGAGGGCATGCCAAGTAATAAAGATCAATTTTCTTTAAGTTATTTTACTACATAGTCTTTATTTTTGTAATATAATGACTTAGTAAGATTTATCTCCGTTTTCTGTTTGAATTAAAGTTATTTTTAGTTAGAATTATTATGGTAATTGTAGTTTTTCAGTTATGAAGCAAATGCTGCAAAGCCAATCGACTGGAG